GCTGATCAGTTTTGAGTCAAGAAAGCTAAGTCTACGAACTACTTTATTTTTTATTCACTCAAAATTTCTCATTTCCATTTTGTTTCTCTTGCACTTTCAATCCATCAATTTAATCATCGGTCCTTCTCCTCAAATTTCTCCTCTTCAACTCAATTATGAGCTCATGAACAAGGTCTTTCGCTGCTCCAATTCAAAAGTCGAGGAAAAGGCTATTTTTCTTTAATTCTTTTTTACCAAATTACAGCCGGTCATTATACGAAAACTAAAGTTCAATTATTGGATATTTTTTGTTTTTTGACACATTAAAATAAAGGGTAAAGTAACACGGCTAAAAAAATAATTAAAAAACTAGCCTCCACTCATTTTGAATTTTAAGTTCTCAAAAACACCCCCTCTCCCCCTCCCACACGCATATCTCCCTACGTCAGCCATCTCTTTCTTCTTTTTTGTTATATTTTTAGTTGATAATTAATAAACTTTGATTAACCCTAAGATATTAAGAAATTATAATTGTATTTTGTTGTATTGTTTGAAAGAATATTTATAATTTAAAAATATTATACTTTTATGATATTATCATTGTCAATACTTACAATTGTATCACTTATAATAGAAAAAGTCTTGAATTCCTAACTACTAGAGTCTACATCAAACATATCTCTTAACAAATTATCAAGAATGTTATGTGATCGATTTGACTGGAATATTTTTGAAATAAAAATTGAAATTATTTGGAAGACATTGCAAACCAGGATTAATCAAGCTCGTTATATCGGTATACCAATCTATAGTGACAAAATTGTGAACTCAATGTTTGGTTTTGCGAAGATCAATGAAATTAATATGCTAGAGCTCTATTTGAATAGCAGACATAGATGAGAAAGCTCTTCTAATATGGAGTTGACATCATTTTCAAGTAACTCTTAGAAAACCACACAAGCATCACAAAGAGATGGTCTATATATGCTAGGTGGTAATGTTAGTAAACAAGTTTCGATGCAGGAAATCATTAATATGGAACCTCTATTAAGCATGACATCTACTACGTATTACTATGGACGATCTAAACCAAGTGCTGATGAAAATGAGTATTGTATTGATAGAGTTGTGATTGATGGAGAAGATAAAGATGATAACAAACATGTTCTTAAGTTAGAAGAGTTGAGGTGATGCTCTAGATCCGTACATGAGTGCTCCATACCATTATATGAGCTAGATAAGTTATTAGATATAGTTACATATTATTATATATTATGAAAATTATAAATAGATGTATAATTAATTTAATTTTTTTTATAAAATGTTATGTTATGCTAATTGTTAGTCTAAATTTTTTATTTATGAGAGAATATGTTATTGTTGCTCGTGTGAAATGTGTTTTGATACTGAAAAATGGTTATTTGTGATTGTATGAATTATTTTTCTTATTATTATTGCATGATGTTAATCACAGAAAAGTCTGTCAATGTTAGCAAAGTCGTAGATATTACTGCTGATATGTGAGTTGCAATTGACATCTTCATAAATTTCTTTTTATTTTGGGTTAATGATAACTTAGTCCTAGTGGTTTTATAAACTAAACGTTTAATCTCTATATTTTTCATTGGATTTATAACTTATAATTTTTATCTATTTGTTTTTACTTAAAATAGAAAAAAGAAAAAATCAAAGCATATAAATCGAAAGATTGATAAGAAAGAGAAGTATTTACAATAGCTAAGCACTGCACTCCTTCAGATTTTTGTTCGTACTAACACAAAAAACAAAACGAAGGTGGATGTTGTGTGTAACCGCAGATTTATCCAGCAAAAATCTGTACCAAGGGTTGCACTGTTGTCTTTTGTTGGCATGGAACTTTTGTTGCCACACAAAAGGTATGATCCATAAGACGAGCTGCAAAGGAAGAGCACAAACTGTATCTATTAGCACATATTCATTGCTATTTTCTAAGCTATGAAATGCTTCTTCTTCTGGGAAACACATAAATTGCTTAACCCTTCAAGTACACAGTCACCTGTTCTTGTTAATAATAGCAATAACAATCTATCAGTGCATGCGAAGGGGGGTCCAGTTAGTATTAAGTTTATAAGCCAGCAAGGAATAATAGCGGGGTAGATGTCCCCGAGAACAGCTGCCATCAGACGAGATGCAAAGGAAGTTCTAATTAGATCATGAACTGTATCTGTTAGCACAAAGACTTGCTGCAAAACTGTCAATTTTGGAAATTAGTACTGCCGTGTTCCCAACGCTCACTCTTGTGTGGAAATATTTGCAAGTGAACCTTCAGTTCCGAAGACTTGGAGGTCAAGGACAGACCAAATGAAGATTGGTTCTCCCTTCAAACTCCATTAATTCTCCATTGTTTGTCAGTTTTATAACTGTTCAATAAAGCTATTGCCAGAACGTGTTGACTGTAGACTGGATTGAAGTGGACATAAGAAGGTGAGGATGACTCTTCAACTCTGCATGCCCACTTGCTTAAGCTGTGAGTAAAATACGATCGTAAATTATTAAGAAGTTTTCTTCGTATATATTGAGGCTTGAATTTCTCGGAAATTATATTTTAGTGGGCAAAGCAATCTTCGCATAAATCCTTTTTTTTTTATCTTATTATAAATGTTTCATAATTAACTATCTTATTTTTTGAATTAACATGATTGTACGGCACCTCAATTTATGAACACTTGTATTAGTGAATCAAGGGACTTCTCCTCGCGTGAAATTTTCACTGACTTTGATTATCATTTTTTTTTTCCAATTATGTATGCATAATTCCATATTCAGAACCACTTACTGGTTGCGAAGACTTGGAGGTCAAGGAGGAAAACAGACCAGATCATGAAGATTGGTTTTCCCTTGTTGATGCTGAGAAAACAGACCAAGTGAAGATTGGCTTTCCCTTGTTGATGCTGAGAAAAGAAATATCTTTCCAATCCCACACTAACTTGGTAATCTTGAGGGCAAGAACCTTGGAACTCCAATCTTTGTCAGTTTTAGTAGGCTGCTCTGTTTTCCGGTAATGGTTCAGTAATGTTATTCCTACACTTTCACTAAATATTTTCTTCAATTTCCGGTACGCTGCTCTGAAATTCCTTCAAGTCTAACTTGTAAAATAATAGTTTGAGCGGTTCTACACCCCTGAAAAGATATTTAATCCATTTAGAAAATCAATATTGTCATGTTCCTATTCTTATTCTCATTAATAAAATGTTTGTGGTAGCTTTTTTTTTTAAATATATATTTTTTATATGTGTTTTTTTTTATGATTTTGATGTGTTTTATTAAAATTAAAAAAAATCAACAAAAAAATATATTTAAAATATATATAGCGCAACATTATGAATCACACAGAAAGACTTTTAGGTCATGAGAAACGATACATGTGCAAAGTCATTAGTACTCCATTGCTGGATTGGATTGGACATATAAAGGTGAAGATGACTTTACTTATCAAATTTTATTTCAGTTACGTATACATAATCCCATATTTTAATTATTTTTTATTTAAAATAGAAAAAGAATAAATCAAAGTATATCAATTTAAGGAATGGTAAGCAAGAAAAGTATTTAAAAAAAAAACAAAATATTACTAATCAAGATTTGGTAAATAACTATTTAGTTATTCTTAATACTAAAAGGATTAATTAATTTAATAACTATTAGCAACCTCTAAGACACTATTTAATCCATTTAGAAAATCAATATTAATTTTCTTATGATTTTAATATTCTGATTTTAAAAATTAAAATTTTAAAAAATATTAAATTAATATAATTTCAAATAAACAACATTTAAAAAATAATTAAACTACGCGCACAAAAAGTCGTTAGTGCCCCCATTGCTTTGCGTATTTATTTCTTTACCAATAAACAACAATTTAGTTTGCGCAATTTGAAGTCAATTTGATAGGAACCTTACATATTTCCGAGGTTTTTATTCTTATTTTATTTTTTAATTATTAAATCTTAAAAAATATTATTCAATTACAAATATATTAAAATAATATATTTAAAAAAAAATTAACATCAACATATTAATCTATGCTTGTATAATTACCGCTAGATGAGTTAAAAAGAAAATTTTAATTAGTATTGTAAGCTTATGTTGAGCTACAAGGTTTTATTTATATATTTTTATGAATTTTAATATAAAAAGATATAATATTGTGTAAATAATATTTTATCCTTATATATATAAAATTCTTTCTAAATACTTTACATAATCTCATGTTTGATAATTTAGATTTGAAATATCAATTTTTTGATGCCAACATCCAAATCATTGATAAATTTCAAATGCTTTTCATAACTGGGATTAATTCATTAGTTTCAAGTAACATTTTTCTATATCTCTAGTAGTATAGAAATCTTATAAGATATTTCTATAACTATTAATATTTTATAATAGATATTTATCTCTTATTAATATTATACAAGAGTTATTTGTTTCTAATTTAATATTGTGTAGGAGATATCAATTATTTATTATTTATTTATATAATTTTATTTTAGTAAAATAACAAGTTTCAATAGCTATAAATATTTCTTGAATTATTTAGGTAAAAAGTTTATAATTTTTATTCTTTACTGTATAAATATTTTTTAATTATTTATTTACATAATTGCATAGTTTAAATTATTTTTTATTTAGAATAGAAAAAGGAAAAATCAATTCAAGGAATGAAAAGACTTTTGGATCATGAGAAATGTTGTATATATTAGTGCGAAGTCATTGGTGCCAAGAAACAACAATTCAGTTTGCACAATTTGAAGTCAACAGGGAATCAAGTTGATAGGAACCTTTCATATTTCCATCGGTTTTTATTCTTACTTTTATTTTTTTTAATTGTTAAATCCTGAGAAAGGTATTTTAATACTAACAATTAATATGTGCTCATGAACAATATTAGTCTTTCTTTGCTCCGATTCTCTTTCAGCTAAGGAAACTTGTTTAATGCTTCAACCAGTCACTTTGATTTCGTCTATAAATATTAATACCTTTCTTCACTTCTCATCTTTAATTCCTGTAAGCCCAGCCACCATGGGGTTTTCACCACCTTGCCTCTCTCAATCTCTCTCTTTCATTCTGTTTCTCTTCCATTTCCACTCAACAATTTCATCTCCACTCTCCTCAAATTACTCCTCCTCTTCTTCTCATTTGTGTGCTCATCGCCAATCTCTCTCTCTCCTTCAATTCAAACAATCCTTCTCCATTCAAAATAGTTCAGCTTTATCGGAGTACTATTGTCCACATCCCTTTCCAAAAACAGAGTCATGGAAAGAGGGTACAGACTGCTGCTTGTGGGATGGGGTCTCTTGTGACCTGAAAACCGGCCATGTCACTGCACTGGACCTCTCTTGCAGCATGCTTTACGGCACCCTCCTTCCCAATAATTCTCTCTTCTCCCTCCATCATCTTCAACACCTCGACCTCTCTTTCAATGATTTCAACTCCTCCCATATTTCTTCTCGATTTGGCCAGTTCTCCAATCTAACACATCTTAACCTAAGTGGTTCAGATCTTGCAGGCCAAGTCCCATCAGAAATCTCTCATCTCTCCAAATTGGTTTCACTTGATCTCTCTAAAAACTTCAATCCAAGTCTAGAACCAATTTCCTTTGACAAGCTTGTTCGAAACCTAAGCAAGCTTAGAGAACTCGATTTGAGTTGGGCAAACATGTCACTAGTTGTTCCCGATTCCTTGATGAATCTGTCCTCTTCTCTGTCATCGCTCAAACTCTATTACTGTAGATTGAAAGGAAAACTCCCATCCTCAATGGGGAAATTTAAGCACCTGCAGTTCTTGGATCTTGGATGGAACGATCTTACTGGTTCAATTCCATATGGTTTTGATCAACTCACCGAGTTGGTTTCCCTTGGTCTCTCTTCCAACAACTATCTGAGTCTAGAACCAATTTCTTTTCGCAAGATTGTTCGAAACCTAACCAAGCTAAGAGAACTGGATTTGGGCGATGTAAATGTCTTTGGTTGCACCTAATTCCTTGACGAATCTGTCCTCTTCTTTGTCATCTCTTTACCTTTGGGGTTGTGGATTGCAGGGGAAATTCCCGGGTAACATCTTTCTCCTCCCAAAACTTAAATCATTGGATTTGTCATATAACAAAGGCCTCACTGGCTCTTTTCCTTCGTCCAATTTGAGTAATGTCCTCTCTCAGTCGGGTCTTTCTAATACAAGAATTTCAGTTTATTTAGAAAACGACTTAATCAGTAATCTAAAATCCTCCTCATAATTATAATATTATAAGGTCAAATATAATTTTACTAGGTAATCTCACACAATTATAATATTATAAGGTCAAATATAATTTTACTAGGTAATCTCACACAGCTCACCTTTTTAGACCTTTCAAGTAATAATTTTAGTGGTCAGATTCCATCATCACTTAGTAATCTCACACAGCTCACATTTTTAGACCTCTCAAGTAATAATTTTAACGGTCAGATCTCATCATCACTTAGTAATCTCACACAGCTTATCTCGTTAGACCTTTCAAATAATAATTTTAGCGGTCAAATCTCATCATCACTTGGAAACCTTGTACAGCTCCGTTCCTTATATCTTAGTTCCAATAAATTGATGAGTCAAGTTCCAGATTCTTTAAGTAGCCTAATCAATTTTTCATATTTAGATTTATCAAATAATAAACTAGTAGGCCATATTCATTCTCAATTAAATACCCTTTCAAATCTTCAATATCTAATTTTATATGGTAACCTGTTCAATGGAACAATACCATCCTTTTTGTTTGCTCTTCCTTCTTTACAATCTCTTACCTTCGTAACAATAATTTCATAGGCAATATAAGTGAACTCCAACACGATTCTTTGAGATTCCTTGATTTGAGCAATAACCACTTGAATGGTCCAATCCCAAGTTCGGTTTCCAAACAAGAGAACTTGGAAGTCCTTATTCTTGCGACCAATAGTAAATTGACAGGTGAGATCTCTTCTTCTATTTGCAAGCTGAGATTCCTTCGCGTCCTGGACTTGTCCAACAACAGCTTGAGTGGTTCTACACCACTATGCTTGGGGAACTTCAGCAGCCAGCTCTCAGTATTGCACCTAGGCATGAACAATCTTCAAGGCACCATCCCTTCAACTTTTTCAAAGGATAATAGCTTGGAATATCTCAACCTCAATGGAAATGAATTAGAAGGGAAAATACCACCGTCTATCATCAATTGCACAATGTTGGAAGTTATTGATCTTGGCAACAACAAGATTGAAGATACATTTCCCTACTTTCTAGAAACGCTTCCAGAGCTGCAAGTTCTTGTTCTAAAATCCAATAAACTCCAAGGTTTTGTGAGGGGTCCGGCTGCATATAATTCCTTCTCTAAATTACGGATCCTTGACATCTCTAACAATAATTTTAGTGGGCCAATGCCACCAGGGTATTTCAATAGTCTTGATGCAATGATGGCCTCGGATCAAAACATGGTTTACATGATGGAAAGAAATTACACTGGCTATGTCTATTCCATAGAAATGACATGGAAAGGTGTATAAATTGAGTTTCTGAAGATCCGAAGTACCATCAAAGTACTCGATTTGTCAAATAACAACTTCACCGGAGAGATTCCAAAGGTGATTGGAAAGCTTAAAGCACTCCAACAGCTCAACCTCTCTCATAATTCCATTACAGGTCATATCCAATTATCATTAGGAAATTTGACCAATTTGGAATCATTAGACCTATCTTCAAATTTGCTTACCGGAAGGATTCCAATACAGCTGGGAGGTCTAACATTTCTTGCAATCCTAAACCTTTCACATAACCAACTCGAGGGGCCCATACCAAGTGGAGAGCAATTCAACACCTTTGATGCAAGCTCATTTGAAGGAAACTTGGGTTTATGTGGATCTCAAGTACTAAAAAATGTTACGGTGATGAGGCACCATCATTACCGCCATCAAGCTTTGATGAAGGAGATGATTCAACATTGTTTGGAGAAGGATTTGGATGGAAAGCTGTGGCAGTGGGGTATGGATGCGGGTTTGTGTTTGGAGTTGCAACGGGATATGTTGTGTTTAGAACAAAAAAACCTGCATGGTTTCTTAGGATGGTTGAAGATAAATGGAATCTCCAGAGAAAAAAAACAAAGAAGATTGCTGGCAGATATGGTGCTAGAAGAAACTAAATGATGCAATTGATATTTCCAAGTTATGCATTTGAGTTTTCAAATTTTATATTCACAGTTTTTGTTAGGCTATCTTTTCTTTACTATTTCATTTAATCAGTCTTACGTTTTTAATTTTGCAGTATAAACAAGATATCAAGTGGATCAACAATATTATTGGGTGTAGTTTACATAATTCAAGGTTAAATGTACATTACTTCTATGAAAAAGAATCCATGCATGTAACACAGGTTTGTGTTAACTATAAAATCATTTATGTTTTGGGTCCTATTTTTAGGTGTCAATCTTTGTTTTGGGAGTATTCTGAAAGTTATAGAGTTATGAACAGATTGAAGCAATTCTTGTAAATTTAAAAGAACACTTGACTGACAGATTCTGTTATCACAACAGCAGCAATACTTGCAAGTAAATTGTAAGACATGAATGACTATTAAAAAGTGTGATAAAACCATCTCAACAGGTACAAACAATGTTCTAAAGCATTGTTTATATCTAAAGCAAAAAAAAAGCAAGATAGGTTTCTACAAACAATATTGTTTGATAGGGAAAACATTAAAATATTTGTTTGTAAGATATTGTCACTGAGTCCGGCCAGGCCAGGCCCATGAATAAATCACACTTCCACAAATCTTACATAAAACACATTCTAGCAAGTCGCTGCATAAGAGGACCACATAAATGCAGAACTCAAGATCCGTAGTACGACGCTGCCCCAGAAAACTGTCAATCTCGTCAATAAATATAAAGGCAGGCTGGAGTTTATAAGCCAGGCTAAAAACAGCAGCAACTGCAACAGCATAGAAGAGAACCAACATCAATCAGATTATAAGAACTTCAATAAGAGCAAAAAAGCAACTACGCAAACTTAGTTAATTACTTCTAAGTCTGTTTCTAGTCAGCACAGAACCAACAAGACTTGAATGGATTCAGATGCAGAAAAGAATGTAATGACTAATGAGGGATGGTTTCAACACAACAATTTAGTTGCAAAATACAGTAATGACCACTGTCACAATTGCAAGAACGTATGCCATTCAATTACTATTGTTATATCCCTAATGCAGGATATATAGAAATACCACACAGCAACAAAAATACCAATATTTTGATCATTTTGCAATCTTATTCATTAAGAGTAAGATCCATTAGATAAGCATTAGCTACAGTGCCCTGTTTTTTAAAGTTAATAGAGCATCCAACAAAATCTTGTTGCTAATAAAGATCTTCAATAAGGACAAGTTAAGAATGTTCACAAAGTACTACCATAATCGGTGGGTGACAGCAAGTTTCAGAATAACAATGCAATAATTTTAAACCATCATTGTTTTGCTAATGCAAGACAAAGCTCAAGCACAACAGAGGCAATTCAAATGTGATCACTCACCGAGCTTTTGTGCACTGCCAAACCACTTGCTCATCAGATTAGAGATCCTCACATTTATAAAAACAGCTCTAGAGTCTCTGACAATAGCTTTTGCAAGCATGGTCTTCCCTGTGCCTGGAGGTCCATGTAACAATACCCCTTTTTGTGAACCAAGAAGTTTCCGTGTGAGAAGAGCTCAGATTTCCGCAGAGGAAGAATCACCAGTTCATATAAAGCTTGCTTGATAGATTCAAATCCTCCAATTGATTCAAAAATAAAAATACACAATTGCAGCATATTGATAAACCATTAAACCGACCATAAATTCTAAAGCCTCTATCCCAATCAATTACATTTTCAACATGAGAACATGGCCATATTCAATAGTGTTTAGAGGATAGGCTTGATTGTTACGAAGCAGTTTAAATCTTTTGTTTCATAATTGAAAAGTTTGTTTTGGAAGCCAAATTTCATCAGGCATAGAAAGAACTAATATCTATATTTTCCAGTTATAGCAATCATATTGGTTCAAGGCCAAGTCTTCAAATTTAATTCCTTCCAACTATGAACCCCTCCCAGTCAGTCACGCAAGAGGCTAATACTGAACATAGCAGCCATCAGCGTTCACATAGTATCATTTTCAAAAAAGGTGGACATAAATGGAACTAATCATGTGCCATTAGTTTATGATATAGCAGAGACTCAAATTCACTCCATATGATGGATATTTTCATATATTCATATTCAGTTGACATTAGAAACTGAGTATTTGGTGCTTGGTAGCAGCCAACAAAGTATAGACAACCTAGAAAACAAATGGCAAGTTTGAAGACACCAGGAAATATTATAACTAGATGGTTGAATAAACAATGACAACAGTACTATAGCACCAGCCCAGAGGTCAACACGACAGTACAGAAGTTCCAATATATCCAAAACGAACTTGGTCTCTAGTTTCCACCAACCCAAAATAACTCCATGCATCCAACAATAAGAAACCTAACCTTATACTTTTTCCTCCTAGAAGCAATTCCTAATGATATATGGAATCTCAAGAGCAAGAAAACAAAGAAGAATGTTGGCAGATGTTACGCTAGAAGAAACTAGATAATACAATTGATATTTTCAAGTAACTTTTGCGAGCATTTGAGTTTTCAAATTTTATGTTCACAGTTTATATAAGCTATTTTTTCTCTACAATTTATTTGATCAGTCTGACCTTTCTAATTTTACAGTACAAACAAGATATCAAGTGGATTTGACATTGAAACAACAATAGAGTGGCAGATTCATGGTATTGGATTCCCTTTACGTTTTTTTCATTAAGGTTTGGGTGCTACTTCTGCGAAAAAGATTCCATGTATGTAATAGGTCAAGCAACCAATAGCTTATGTTAACTATAAAATCATTTATGTTTTATTGAGTTATGAACATTTCCTTATTCTTGATCACTTAATTCAATCTCCCTTTCTGGGAGTATTTTGAGATTTATAGTGTTATGAACAAATTGCTCTACACAGCAGCGAGTAACTTAAAAGAACAACACTCGACTGACAGATTCAGTTCTCATAACAGCAGCAATATTTGCAAGCAAAATAAAGTAATTCTGATAACTTGTAAGTCATAAATAACTATTAAAAGTGTAACAAACACATCTCAACAGGTACAAACAATGTTCCACAACTCTTACACAGAGCCAAAATCATCAACAAAATCAGTCAACATTAGTGATTGGCAAGTTTATATCTAAAGCAAAAGAAAAGCTTACGATTCATGCTCTGAAATCGAAGAACTGAAAAGCAAGCAGCATGTCCATTCATGCACTGAAATTCCAGTAAGCAAGCAAGCCGATATATTAAGCACGAAGTCAGAGTTCTTGATGTTCTCAATTAAAAAAAAATCGCTCTGAACATAATGGTTAAACCCTCCCTAATTTCCTCACTGACCCAAGATTTGAATACATTAAACAACTTTATAAGTTTGTTTTCCATTTGTCAGAAAACACATCAAGAACTTCAACACAGAAAATACAATGAGCACCACGTTGCAGGCATCTGAACAAAGTCCACTGGCGTCTCCCACCTGCTAGCAGCCTCCCACGTTCTCAGTTATATTTCAACCGAATTTGATCGCAAAGCAAAACAGAATCCTACTAGTCAGAAGAATCAGTTTATATATGATATATGCAATGATGCTTATCAGTGGCAAAAATTATAAATCCGAATTACAAAAATTATGGCTGCAATTATGAGATTTATTTTACCATAATTAGTGCATTAAACTGTATATATATTCTTACCTATATTAGAATATTAGCCGTTAGTGTATTAGCTATTTATATTTTCTTACCAAAGTAGATTGTACAACAACTCTTATTTAAATAGAAACGATCCTCGTGAAGAGGACATTCAGCCATTTACTCAAAATTGTTATGGTATCAGAGCTGGTTCTGTAACCTTCTAATCTGTCTTTTGTTTTAGGTTGATTAATCTTTTAATCAACAACTTCATTCAGTCTTGCTTTAAGATTTCTAGTTTTGAATTTTTTAAAATGTCTACAGAAACTTTGAGTATTAAATTTACAGGCAAAACCTATACGGCATGGGAATTTCAGTTCAGGATGTTTTTGAAAGAGAAGGAGCTTTGGAGGCATATTGACGGGACTTCTCTTGCTCCTACAAATGATGCAGAATTTAGTCAATGGGAGACAAAGGATGCTCGAATTATTTCTTGGATTTTAGCATCTATTGAAGGTCATATGGTGACCAATTTACGCTCTTTTGGTACAGCTAGAGAGATGTGGGATTATCTAAAGCGTATATACCATCAATATAATACTGCAAGACGCTTTCAACTTGAACTTGAGATCAGCAATTTCAGTCAAGGTAATCTCTCGATTGAGCAATATTATTCTGGTTTTGTTAATCTATGGAGCGAATATTCTGGCATTATCTATTCTAAGGTGTCTAAAGAGGCCTTACCTAGTCTTCAAGCTGTTCATGAAGTTAGTATGCGAGATCAGTTTTTGTTGAAACTAAGACCAGAATTTGAGATTGCCAGGGCTGGGTTGCTGAATAGAGATCCAGTATCTTCTTTGGATGTTTGTCTAGGTGAATTATTGCGTGAAGAACAAAGAATGGCTACACCATCTATAATAAGTGAATCTAAGGAGACATCTGAGGTTGTCAATGTTGCTTATGCTGCTCAAGGGAAGAATCGAGACAAAGGAACCATACAGTGCTACAGCTGCAAGGAGTACAGGCATATTGCCCGTAATTGTGGCAAGAAATTCTATAGTTACTGTAAGCGGAATGGACACATTATTAAAGAATGTCCCACACGTCCAGAAAATTGGAGAGCACAAGCTTTTCAAGCTGCTGTTGTAAACCATCATATTCCTGGTTCTACTTCCACCAATCATATTCCTGGTTCTACTTCCACAACCACTGTCACTCCAAAAATGATACAACAAATGATTATCACTGCATTCTCTACGCTTGGACTTCAGGGTCAAGGTAATACTGTCTCTTCTTCTTAGATTGTTGATTCTGGAGCATCCAATCATATGACTGGCTCATATGATTTGTTGTGTAATCTCCGGAAGTATAGTAGCACACAAAATATTCAGATTGCTAATGGTAGGAATCTCCAGATTACAGCTATTGGTGATATTGGACCTTTTCCTCATGTATTTGTTTCTCCTGGGTTGTCTACTAATTTAATTTCTGTTGGACAAATGGTGGATAATAATTGGAATGTGCATCTCTCTCGTAATGGTTGTCTTGTGCAGGATCAAGTATCCGGGAAGGCGATCACGAGGGAGCCTAAAGTGGGAAGATTATTTTTGTTGCAATTTACTATTCCTAAAGCTTTGTCTTTAGCTTCTGTTATTGTTGACAATAAGACAGCAGCTTGGCATAAACGATTGGGTCATCCAAATAATGTTATTTTGTCTAATTTAATGAAGCGTGGTTTTCTTGGTCACAAAGATAAGGGTTCTACTCATAGCTTGTCTTTTGATTGCTCTACTTGCAAACTAGGGAAAAGTAAAACTTTACCTTTCCCTGCTTTTGGCAGTCGTGCTAATACATGTTTTGAGATTATACACTCTAATGTTTGGGGCATTGCTCCTGTTATTTGGGGCATTGCTCCTGTTATTTCACATGCACAGTATAAATATTTTGTGACCGTCATTGATGATTACAGTCATTTTACTTGGATTTATTTTCTCCGCACCAAAGCTGAGGTTTTCACTGCTTTCCAAACCTTTCTAGCTTATATTGAAATACAATTCTTGACCTGCATTAAGGTGTTCCAGTCTGATAATGGTGGTGAATATATTTCACATAAATTTCAGGCTTTTCTGCAACAAAAAGGTATCATTTCGCAACGATCATGTCCTTATACCCATCAACAGAATGGGGTGGCTGAACATAAAAATCATCACTTGCTGGATATGGTTCGTACATTGCTTTTAGAGTCTTCAGTTCCACCTAAATTTTGGGTGGAAGCTTTATCCACTGCAGTTTATTTGATTAATCGTCTACCTTCTCAACAATTGAATTTTAATTCTCCTTACTATCGTCTTTTCGACATGCATCCTAACTACCACAATTTACATACATTTGGTTGTATTTGCTTTGTTCACTTGCCTTCTCATGAGCGTCACAAGCTTACAGCGCAGTCAGCAAGATATGCTTTTATGGGTTATAGTGCTGGTCAAAAAGGTTTTTTATGTTATGATGTTATTACTAATCGTCTGCGCATATCCAGAAATGTGACTTTCTTTGAACATAAGTATTATTTTCAGCAACACGTACCTTGTTCCAATGGTATTCTGCTTCCTACCTTTGATGATATCTCACCACCAGTTATGCAGTATCAACCCGGTTTTGTTTATTCACGAAGACAGCCCCCAACATCACAAATCCTTCCTGATCCAGTTCCTACCCCAGTTGCTCTTCGGTGATCTTCCCGCATTTGTCGTCCTCCTGATCGGTATAGTTTCTCTACTATTTTAAATGATACTACAATTCCTACCTCTTATTCTCAGGCAACTAAACATGCATGTTGGAACAAAGCTATGCAAGAAGAACTTCAAGCTCTTGAGGAGAATCATACTTGGGATGTTATTCCATGTCCTACTGGCATCAAGCCCATTGGTTGTAAATGGGTATATTCCATTAAGTTGCGGTCTGATGGCTCACTTGACAGATATAAAGCAAGGTTGGTGGCACTCGGTAACTGTCAAAAGTATGGCATAAACTATGAAGAAACCTTTGCACCTGTGGCTCACTTGACAGATATCCCATCCTCTTGTTTATGAACATTCACAAGGAAGAATAGACATAGCATTACCACCTCTCCAGTCATAACTTGAAGAATGATCAAAGCTTCCCCTTTCATACCATCATTTGGCATGCTGTTGCTGTCAGCGTTACCAGAAGAGGCACCAAACATCTCACAATGAAATGCGTACAAGGAATCCAGAGAGAGAGAGATGACATTCTTCCATAACCATTTATTCCAGTAAAAAGAACCAGGAGGTTGGCAGATACTTACATTCATACATACGAGATCATAATTTATAAGATCCTATGCTGATTTACTGCACACAGGAGAAACTCTGTACTGCAAAGATAGTTACTGTTTTGTTTCTCTTATGAATTTGCATAAATTTGTTTTGTATTTGAGTTAGTTATAACTTAATCCTAGGACGTAGTTTTGCAAGCTATACATTTAAACTCTATAATTTTAATTGTATTTACGACTTAATTATTTTCGATTATTTGTACTATGATCAACACTTGTCAAATGACTTTATTCTTTTGAATACGATCATTTAGTTTTATTCATAATAAGAAAAACAAGTAGTGTTCCCTTGAAACACCAATTAACTATGATGTAAATCAATATTGTGGTGTTCGCATTCCTAGTCTTGTAATTATTACATTGCCCTTATTTTATTTTATTTTTTTCATTTTCATTTTTTCCATTTTCAGATACAACAGTAACTTGGGAATAACGATTTTCATCTATATGCAGAGAATATATATATAACTAAATTAAAGTAGAAAGTCTTTCTTTCATTTATATGGAGAAATAAGACCACAAGCATCAACTCTATATAATATCATACCTATCTGGCATTGAAATATAAGGTTTGATCCTGCTAGGCTCCTTTTAATAGAGGATATTCCTAGCTATATATCTTCAATTTTCTCATACTAGGACTGATAGTAATTAGTGACTGTTATTGCCAATGCTGAAGTGCTTGAATGGAATCTAATCTGATGCACTTATCTAATCACAAATCTTGTAAACTCATCCTGGATATATAGGGGGAAAAAGAGTTTGATTTCTAACAATCTCAAAGTAATATTGTTTCAATAAACTTGATTTTATCAAAATAGAATACTCCATATTATATTCCATATTATATTAAAGATAAAGGATAATATAGAGTATTAAAAAGACTTATAATATTTTGATGTAAGATCAGACACAAGGTTAGTCAGAAAAGCTTTTTTGACACAACACGGAATATACAATATAAACTCGAATCGTAAAATCGTAAAATCATAAAATCACTGGTAAAATATTTTTAACTTATTATATATTGTATTGACAATTCCAATCTTTAACAACAAGAAGAAGGAGAAGAAGATCTACAAGCACTTTCTAGGTCTGTCCAATATGTATATGTTCATAAAAACATAGAATTTGCTCTCAGAGAATTCTCAATATAATTGACATTTGCATTAAATTAAATAATTACAACATGGCAGCAAGCCAGCAACAATGTTTATCCAGGAATAAACATACTTTCTTTTGTGTACAAACAGCTTAAGAAAAGAAAAACAACCAGGACCTAAAATAATCTTCCTAACAATCTTTAAAGAGGTGATGAATACATTCTAGCTGAATACATTATTACCAAAACCAAATCAAATCAACTTTAGAGTCAAAGTAAACATTCTAGATGTTGTTTCCTTGTACATAATTTCTGAACAGTGAGTGCTGCATTTATGAAATGTAGCCCAGTGTATCAACCTCTTACCTCAGTTGGTCTTCTGTAAAGTTTTGTTTGAAACACAAAATTACAAGTAATTCATGCATGCAGTCACGGGTAAAAGGCTATTAATTTGCCAAAAAAAAAAAAAAACAGAAAGAAGATCAAGAATTCGCTGAACTCTGACATTTGATTAGCAATTATATGAAAGATCTGGTCGAGCCATTCTGTTTCTCAATGAGGTTTATGAGCATCTTAAGAGGTTCATGATCCTCAGAAAAGTGGAACAAACACCAACTGAAAGGGCGTACAATTTATTCCTAAACACGACGAGCCTGCATACTTGTAGGTTCCATAATTGCAAAGATGAAGCAACTGTGGCATTACTCACCAAGATTACATCGGGTCACAGACAGTGCCCGCATCTCCCTTAATCTTAGATGTTTAACAAACTATTTTTCTCTTCATGCCCCTCTCTACACCATAAAAATCCCTCACGAACTCTATCCATGTAGCAACCACAAGATGGACTCGAAGCAAAGGGAAAACAGGGAGAGAAAATGTCCAACCGAAATTAACAGCAAGTAATGTGTTTACCAGATTTTCAGCACCAAGAAGATTAACAACAAGTTCAAGATTATTTAACTGAAACCACCAAAAATGATATAAGCTCATGACCCTATTCCGCATAATAAAACTTAAAAGAAAAGAAGAGATTCCAGAAAGCAAACCTGGCCACTATCTAGAAAAGAAGGGAATCCAGCATTTACAATGGCAAGCAAAATCATATGAGAGAGTAGAGACAATCAGATCAGAGGCAAACAAAGCAAAGAAAAAAATGAGATTAATCTTTGCGCTGCTGGTGAGTGGAGACTGGAGAGTGGAACAGGAATCAGCTGCGCTGCTGGTGTTAGTCTTCTAGGGTTGAGATTGAGAAATTGAGATTTGGGCAACGAGAAAAGGGAAGACGGGAGTGGGGACTGTGGACTGCTGGTATTAGTCAGTAATATTGTAAACTTTTGTCGAACTCGTGAAATCTGTTTGATTTGGCTGGTTTTATCTTGACTGATTTTATTCGAGATTAATTGATTTTGCTGGTTTTAAAGTTTTTAACTTGATTTTATTTATTATATATAAAATTATGTAATTTTATAATTCAATTTATAATTTTAATGATATGAATAGAATTTCAGTTTGTAGATATTAAAAATTTATTTAAAAATCTGATTACAGTTGTTTCTAAAAATATTTTTTATTAAAAAAATATATTAATAATATTTTTTTATTTTTTAAAAATTATTTTTGAAATTAGTATATTAAAATAATTTAAAAATATAAAAAATATATTAATTTTAAATAAAATTTTAATTTTTTTTAAAAGTACTTTTAAAAAAAAAATTCAAATAAACACTGAGTATGAATATAATATCTAATTAGCTGATTTTTTTCAAAAAACAATAAATATGATATCTTATTAATTATTATATTCTTGGACCTAGAGGAGCTGAGCTTAAAAACATTTGGTCTTGGATGTTGTTTTATTTTTATAAGTTTGATTTTTTTTAATTTGATTTTTATTAGTTTTTATATGCACAGGCTTCTTTTTTATTTTTGAGACTCATATATCTTTGGATCTTTTAAGTGAGTGGATTTAGCTTATAATATGATGGAAACATTTCTTCTAGTATTTGTTTTTATTGATTTTTTTATTTTATTTTTAAAATTTTAATTAATTAAAAATTAAGTTTTATAATTTATTTTAATAATTTTTTATAGGATTATTTCAATCTCATAATTTAAGTTTGACATATAAACCTATGTTGAGTTGTCTTATATTTTTTAATTAAATTTTAATTTTAATTTTAAAATAATAAATAATTAAATTTAATATATATATATATATATTTTTTATAAAAATTATTAAAATTCCATGAATAGTACCATGAACAAGAAAAAATTAGTTAACATTTTATGTCATCTCATATTGAAATGTAAGATGTAAGGATAGATTTTGATATGTATTTTTTTTATAAAAATTTAAGATAATTTGTTAAATTATTTTTTTTTAATTATTTTTTAATATTATAAATTAAAATATATCTCATCAAATGAATCTATAATCAAGTTTTGAAATCTTATAAAAACTCTTATATCACAAATAAATACAAAGAATTTCACCCATCTACTGAAAAAAAAAAAGGAAAAGAAAAAAACTTGACATGGGATCCGCCATGTTTTTTAGTATATGTTAATAATTAATTAATGGTAATAATTGTTGGCGCTCAAGCAAGATCATGATTGGTGAGCCATCAAGGAGAAGGTGGCCCTCACTTTAAAGACTCTAAATTAAAGGGTAAATCTCATTATGAAACTTAAACTATATATGTATCTCAATCAAGACCCTGAGCAATGTATTTTATCAATTAGATCTACAATACATCATATATTTTTCAATTTGGTATTTTTCTCAATTTTTTTTAAAAATTATTTCAGTATAATTTTACTTTTTTATGCAATGAAACTGGTCTATTAAAGGAAAACTTAACATTAAAATTGAGAGAAAATGGATAGAAGGATACAATTGAGAAACCTCTGGAATACTTTGGACATAATTGATGACATTATTTGTTCTTAAACTTAATTTATAATTATCTTATAGACTTGTGGCTAATTTTTTATGTTTCCCACAAATTGAATGTGGACTTTGGCAGATAAAGATTCATCCCTCATAAAGTGGGGCCCAACTTAATCAATTAGCTGACGTGTCATTGTCCATTTGTCATGTTAATAGCACCTCTTTAAATACCCCATTATTTTCCTTCAGTTTCCAGCAATCCAAACAACCCTAATAAGAAAGTTTGCAGATGGCTTCTCTCTTGGGTTCGCTGCAAACAAGCCATTATCATCAACAACTCCTACTACTTTACTAGCTTCTTCTTTGGTGAATTCCACAAAAATCCACTCCCCGAAAGTGTCTCTAAAGTCCAGTTTTTTAATGCAAAAAACGTGAAAATTATTGAAACTTGAAGGAAACAAAGATCCCTTCGATCCATGGTGAATACTCAGTGAAGATGTCATGGGATGTCCCTCCTCCCCCTTTCAAATTAATCATTCATGAAAAAACCTTGAAGGTTGTTCTTTAAACTCTTTAAAGGTTGAAGTTTTGATTCTTTTGTTTTTTAATGTAAGAATTGAAAACGCACTGTATTTTTTGGATTTTTTCTGTCTAATTTGTGATTGTAACAAATTTTTGGATGTAACAGTTGACTGATACAGTTATAGAGCATGTGGAGTACATAGTAGGACAGGCAATTCAGAAACATTGTCATCTTGTACGGGCAGTTCATGTAAGGTTGTGTTTTAGAGGTGGAGAGTTGGGGAAAGGTCCAGGATTAGAAGATGTGAGGTACCCTTCAAATTATGAATTGAATTTTAGATTTGTTATGATTTTGGGTTACTGTGTTTACTAAAAGTCATGGGGTGGTGAGGGCAGAGGAAGATGCTGAGAAATCTAAGCTAGTATTGATTTGGTGTCGTCAATTATTCAACAAGTTGAGGTAGACACATGAAAGGATTTAATAAGTTGAAGGTTAGGGGGCCAACGTCACAGATACAGTTTCACAGCGAAAAGATCACAACAATCTTGATGAGTTAGGGTTCTTTAACATTTTTGTTCGCGGTTTATCATTTATGTTGTCCTAGTTGTTTTAAATGCATTTAGGCTATGTTTGTTTCTCGGAAAACAGTTTTAGGGAAACCATTTTCCAAATTTTCCTGTGTTTGTTTGTCATTAGAAAAGTTGGTCAACGGAAAATATTTTCCGATCAACAAAAAACACTTTCCAGTCAACGGAAAACACTTTCCGGTCAACAGAAAACACTTTCCGGTCAACAGAAAACACTTTCCGGTCAACAGAAAACACTTTCCGGTCAACAGAAAACACTTTCCGGTCAACAGAAAACACTTTCCGGTCAACAGAAAACACTTTCCGGTCAACAGAAAACACTTTCCGGTCAACGAAAAACACTTTTTGGTCAACGAAAATATTTTTTAGTAAAAAAAAAAATTTGCTTAATTTTCAGGAAAGTGTTTTCCTTTTTAGCAAATTTGGTCCTCATTCTTTTGATTGTTATTTATTTTATTTGAAATACTTTATGAAATGTTAATTATTATTATTTTAATTTCTTCATCTTTTTTTTTAAGATTTGATTTTTATTGTTTTGATTATTATTTATTTTATTTGAGATAATTTATGATTTTTTTTTCAATTTCATTATTATTCAACTTTTTAATTTGTAAGATTTATTCCTTATTATTTTAATAAACTTGAGAAAAATAAAATATTAATAAATTATTTTCCAATTTATTTTCCATGACATAACCAAATACTGGAAAGTGTTTTCCAGTTCATTTTCCATAAAACTACCAAACATCAGAAAATACTTTACTTTTCAGGAATTCACTTTCCCGGAATTCACTTTCCAAAAAGAAACAACTTTCCTGCAAACAAACGGGCCTTAGTTACTATCCCTAGCTTCATATCATTGAATGTAAGGCTTATGTATTCCTGTGAGTTCCTTAATATAGACCTGTAGTGAATAGTTCTACTCCCAACAAGGGCTTTCCCCATTGCACCATTTGGCGATTACTACGGCACATGTAATTTGCAGATGATTTAGCATTATAACTTGTGAACTGTAGCGAATACCTTATCGGTTCTCTTAGCTAGATATTTATGGACTGTTGCAAAAGGAAACCGCATTACCGTCTTCATCTTTCCAAATCATGGCTTGGCACTCAAAGTTCTTCTCTACATCTGGGTGTCAAAGTAAAATGAAACTAGAGAAATTATATTTTCTATTACATTTAAGTTTGATGCATGCTTTTTGGCTAGCTAAACCATTGCCCACCTGGACATATTATTCTTGTCTGCCATAGACTCCTTATCTACACCATTTTCAGGCTGTTCACACAAAGTACCTTGACATGCCACCTCTGACTGTCGATGAAGCAATTGTGCGGCTGGGAAATGTGGATCCATGCCTTCTACGGTTTCGGGCATGCTGAAGGGGGAAGATACAGAATTTGAGATCAAGTGAACTCAAACTAATGAGATGTATTAACATGCTTGTATGAGTTCTTAGTTTATGGAAAATCAGAGCCACTATTATGCTGGCGTCCAAACTTACCGGGACGAGAAAAAAGAATTTTGGAATCACTATTCAGTTTATATTAGATCGAAACCAGTGGTGTTCCCATTCCTGGTCTCGTAATTATTACTTTGCCCTTATTTTATTTTATTTTTTTCATTTTCGGATCCAACAGTAACTTGGGAATATCAAATGTTGCGAAGACTTGGAGGTCAAGGAGGAAAAGGACAGACCAAGTGAAGATTGGTTTTCCCTTGTTGATGCTGAGAAAGAAAGATCTTGGAGGCCTACGCTAACTTGGAAATTAATAATGCCGTGTTAATATTGCCGTGTTTCCAACACTCAGTACTCTTTTTATTTTTTTATTATTGCTTTGCCTTGGTGTCCTTTAGTCTAGCAACAACTACTTAGGCGGCATGATCTTGCACAATTTTGAGTCAACAAGGAATACATATTGCTTTTTTGTTTTCATTTTTAAATCCTGAAAGAGGTATTATTCTCACTCAATTAGTCAGTACATCAATGTTTTTCATAAATTAATGTTTAGCATTGTGGTTCTATCACCTAGTACGTAGTTTTGCAAACTATACATTTAATCTCTATAATTTTAATTGTATTTATGACTTAATTAATTATTATTTGTATTATGATCAACATTTGTCAAGTGAGTGGATTTAGCCCATGTTATGATTGGACCGTCAATACCAAACTTTAGATTTTCTATATTTTCATAAATTAATGTTTAGCATTGTGGTTCAATCACCTAGCATGTTATTTTTTTTTTTAATTATTACTTTGCCAAGAAACAACAATTCAGTAAGCACAATTGAAGTCAACAGTTACATGACATTACGTAATATTTAATATGGCTAGCATAGGGATCCTTTCATTAGTCTGATTTTTTTCACTTTCATCCATTATGTATTGTACTTAGTTCATCATTAGAGAGCAATGGACTCCAACCATTTAATTATCATTTATGAATTTTATAATACATACACAATTAATATTATTTTAAAAACATGGCATGGCATATGATCCACTTAAAAATATTTCTTACAATATAGAGAAAACTAATGAAAGATAAAATAAATTGTAAGGAAAACCAAACTTCAAAGATGCAATGATACCAAGAAAAACCAGGCATAGATCAGGGGTAGAAGTCTCCAAGAACAGTTGTCATCAGACAAGACACAAAGGGAGTTATAATTAGAGCACAAATTAATTGCACGCACGTAAACTTGCTGGAAAAATGTCAATTTTGGAAATTAATATTGCCGTGTTCCCAACATTCTTGCATAGTCAACAAAGGGACCTAATTGTATGGAAATATTTGCAATTGAATAATTCAACCTGCAGAATTGCATATTGAATAATTGTATGGTTGCGAAGACTTGGAGGTCAAGGAGGAAAAGTACAGACCAGAAAGTGTTGACTGGAGACTGGATTGAAGTGGACATAAGAAGGTGAGGATGACTCTTTAACTCTGCATGCCCACTTGCTTTAGCTGAGAATAAACCACGAGTGTAAATTATTAAGAAGTTTTCTTGGAAATTACATTTTAGTGGGCAAAGCAATCTTCGCATAAATTTCATTGCTAAATACAATTTGAAAAAACATCTCTGAACTTTCAAACATCTCTCCTCAACGTGTTCGCTGAATGAAATTATTGGTTGCTTAATCTTGCTGTACAACTGTGGAATGGATTGGACATGAGAAGGTGAAGATGACTTTGTTCATCAAATTTTTTATTTCAATTATGTCCCATAGTTTAAATTATTTTTTATTTAAAATAGAAAAGGGAAAAATCAAATATATCAATTGAAGGAATGGAAAGAATTTAAAAACAAAAAACAAAATATTACTAATCAAGATGTATACATTATTTCCATCGGTTTTTATTCTTACTTTATTTTTTTTTAATTTTTAAATCCTGGAAAGGGTATTATTCATATTATGTTTCTGTAGCTTTTTTAATACCAACAATTATGTGCTCATGATCAAATTAGTCGTCCTTTGCTCCGATTCTCTAACTAAATGTTTCTTTGATACAATCTAAGGCTGGCTTGTCTATAAGTTCTCCTAATAATGCCTTCCTTTACTTCTCATCTTTCCCAGTTATACTTTGAATCCTGTAAGGCAAAACATGGGGTTTTCACCACTGTCCGTCTCTCAATCTCTCTCTTTCTTTCTGTTTCTCTTCCATTTCCATTCAACAATTTCATCTCCACTCTTCTCAAATTACTCTTCTTCTCATTTGTGTGCTCATCATCAATCTCTTTCTCTCCTTCAATTCAAACAATCCTTCTCCATTAATAGTTATGCTTCACCGGAGGATTGCCAATATCCCAAAACAGAGTCATGGAAAGAGGGTACAGACTGCTGCTTGTGGGATGGGGTCACTTGTGACCTGAAAACCGGGCATGTCACTGCACTGGACCTCTCTTGCAGCATGCTTTACGGCACCCTCCTTCCCAATAATTCTCTCTTCTCTCTCCATCATCTTCAACACCTCGACCTCTCTTTCAATGATTTCAACTCCTCCCATATTTCTTCTCGATTTGGCCAGTTCTCCAGTCTAACACATCTTAACCTAAGTTCTTCAGATCTTGCAGGCCAAGTTCCGTCGGAAATCTCTCACCTCTCCAAAATGGTTTCTCTTGATCTCTCTTGGAACGACTATGTGAGTCTAGAACCAATTTCTTTTGACAACCTTGTTCGAAACCTAACCAAGCTTAGAGAACTCGATTTGAGTTTCGTAAACATGTCACTAGTTGTTCCCGATTCCTTGATGAATCTGTCTTCTTCTCTGTCATCGCTCAAACTCTATTACTGTAGATTGAAAGGAAAGCTCCCATCCTCAATGGGGAAATTTAAGCACCTGCAGTACTTGGATCTTGGAGGGAACGATTTTACTGGTTCAATTCCATATGATTTTGATCAGCTCACCGAGTTGGTTTCCCTTGGTCTCTCTTCCAACAACTATCTAAGTCTAGAACCAATTTCTTTTCGCAAGATTGTTCAAAACCTAACCAAGCTAAGAGAACTGGATTTGGGCTATGTAAATATGTCTTGGGTAGCACCTAATTCCTTGAGGAATCTGTCCTCTTCTTTGTCATCTCTTTCCCTTCGGGGTTGTGGATTGCAAGGGAAATTCCCGGGTAACATCTTTCTCCACCCAAACCTTGAATCACTAGATTTGTCAGACAATAAGGGCCTCACTGGCCCTTTTCCTTCGTCCAATTTGAGTAATTTCTTCTCTCGGTTGGATCTTTCTAATACAAGAATTTCAGTTTATTTAGAAAACGACTTGATGAGTAATCTAAAGTCATTAGAATATATGTATCTTCGTAATAGTAACATTATAAGGTCAGATCTAACCCTGATTGGTAATTTTACAAAGCTCATTTATTTAGATCTCTCAATTAATCATTTAAGCAGTGAGATCCCATCGTCACTTGGAAACCTTGTACACCTCCATTCCTTGCTTCTCGGTTCTAATAATTTTGTGGGTCAAATTCCAGATTGTTTGGGTAGCCTAGCCAATCTTTCATATTTAGATTTATCCAATAATCAACTAGTAGGTCCTATCTATTCTCAATTAAATACCTTTTCAAATCTACACCATCTAGATTTATCTGATAACTTATTCAATGGAACAATACCATCCTTTTTGTTAGCCCTTCCTTCTTTACAGCATCTTGATCTTCATAACAATAATCTCATAGGCAATATAAGTGAACTCCAACACTATTCATTGGCATACCTTGATTTGAGCAATAACCACTTGCACGGTACAATCCCAAGTTCGGTTTTCAAACAACAGAACTTGGAAGTCCTTATTCTTGCGTCCAATAGTGGATTGACAGGTGAGATTTCTTCTTCTATTTGCAAGCTGAGATTCCTTCGGGTCCTGGACTTGTCCAACAACAGCTTTAGTGGTTCCTGTTGAAGTAAACTCAATCCAGAAGGTCAAGGAAGGCAGCCACCAGCTGTCACCGCCCAGCCACCAACCGACCAGCCA